TGAAATTCATCAGATCACACATGATATAATGGTCACCTTCTAGAGCAGAACGACCAAAAGTGAGACAAACAGCTAATAAAGCAGTATGGAGGAGAGGACATAAATGCACCGACTAACTCACCCGGGCTAAGCATCAACCCTCATAAATTTGTAAGGCTTCATTCGTCGGAGTGATAAACATATATCAGCCGAAAGTGCAGGCATGAAAGACGACATATGGATCATAGACCCCTACTCTCGAATCAGACATACAAACACTGCATATTGAAAGTAGGCTAATGTATCTGAAAATGTAGAATTGATTAGTCTCCCCCACCAAAATACCCTACATTTAGAAAATATGCTAATTGTTTAAACCACTAACAAAAACTCAACCAAAAGAAGCGGTTCATGCATTGAAGCCATATCATGGCAAGAAAAGCAATACCTGATTTTGAGAACTAAAACCCACAATCAAGAATTGGAGGACCGTGACAGGAAATAGAAAGAAATAAAGCCAAACCGTAAAGAGGAGACTTCAATATCTCGGAAGCCAAGGATCAACTTTGATAGCAGGGTGGAAGATATAATCGAAACCTGAGCTGAGCAGCATCTGGTGCATTGCCATACGCCATCCTGCAAATTTGTGCTTTTGACAGCAGCAAGTCAATTATCAGAAAATTGCCAAGAGATTCCACTAAATTAAGGTGAGTAACTCCAAAGAGAGAACAAAGGAATCAAGAAATAATTAAACAAAACATTGAGGTATAATCAACCAAAACAATAGTTTATAAAAAAAGGTCAAAATCCGCAAACCTCCCTCATCATTGCCTATCCTCCATCGAAATAGACCATTAAGACGGGTGTACCATAATCATATATGTGCGGAACCATCCCTGTCTAGGCTAGCATGATCCTCACATGACCTGGAATTAAAATATATACGATGCAACAAATGAAACAACACAAATACATGTGTCAATTCTTGATAATGGTTACTGCGAGCAGCGACTAAGTGATCAATCCCATTGTCTGGCCAAGCAGCAAGAATGTCTAAGCCATGAGCTAGAAAATCGGCTTTACGATTTCAGGGCATTCGGGATTTGGGCCTCTTGCCGAGAAGGAAGCTACAACGGGGTATCATTCCCCAATTCTTCCATACAATAATCGATTCCACAACCCACTTACCCAAACATCCATTTACAATATGAACACCCAAAATCCAACAACTACACAGCAAGGTATCAATTCCGCAAACCAATTACCCAAACTTCCATTTACAAAATAACGACCCAAACGCCAATAACGACACAACAATGTAATTTGCACATGCGGAGAAAAGAATAACAATCCTGCATATAAGAACCCAAAATAGGAGCCCATGGAGATAACATTACCAATTGAAATACCATATTTGGAGGGGGTGACTCTAGTCCTCGTTCATACATCTTATCCCACACCTCTATTTCATACATCTTATCCCAATAAGCGAATATGAACCATGGATGTCTTCAATCAGAGAGAACTTAAGAACATAATATCACACCCTTGAACACAGTGAAACGAAGCAGTATCCAACAATTGTAATATGTCATAAGAAACAGGAGGGATTCTAGATAGAATGGTGTGTGTGGGTGGGGGGGGGGGATATTCTTTCTTGCCAAAAGTTTACCTTCAACTCCTCAGCTCCTCTGGTCCCCGGCCTTGTATCAACATCTCTCAGTATATACACAATCTTAGGTCCAGGCATTCAGAACCTAAACGGAACACTCAGTAATAAGGCCAAAGTTCTCTTATACCTAGCGGTGTTCACTTGGGATTTCGTCAACATTGAAATTGAGATACTAACCTCAAATATAAGGCGTCAATCCTTCTCAATAAGTCATCCCGCGACTGTTTCTTTTGCTGCGAATGAAAAGTTGTGCGCTGGCGAAGATGTGGGTTTGCGGCTGTCAAGGCGGTTGAAGAAGCTGATTCCCTTTAGTTGGTAATCCTACGGAAAGGGTGGATTATGATTTGATAGGGAGATGACAAAGACTTGCCCAGAACTGACTCGCAGGGTCAATCACCACTCCTGAAGCTGCTCTTAATGAACTCAGACTGCCGCAGTAGCGCATTCCTGGAGTACTTGCTGACCATTATGTGCGAGCACTTGGTAACCCTTGGAAAAAGAGGTCGTCGAGCGAGAGTTGTGTCTCCGTGGGATTAACAGCTAGTTGCTCGGAATGAATGACTGGATTTCGTTAGGCGAAGGAGGTTTGAGAAGGTGAATCGCCTATAGGGGTCGCCGGGAGTTAGGCTGGATTAGGGGTTGAATAAGGTATGGAGATGGTAGAGCTTCGCTGAGATTGAGGGTTAAGCGGCGGGAGTGATTGTGCGAAAAGCCCTCTGCCGCGGACGGAAAAAGGAAAAGAGAAAGAAAAACCCTCTGCTGCGGAGGAGAAAGGAAAACGGGGGAGTGACTGTGCGAAAAGAACACAAGAAGAGGAATGAGCTCTCTGCAAAACAAAAAGCTAGACGAAGAAATACGGTTGCATTTTTACTTCTCACTCTTAAAAAGCGGAATTTTTTCACTAATCCCGCTTAAATGCAGTGCCACATCAACCTCCTGAAATCACTCTATGGGCAGGAAAATTTGAATGGGGTGTGCAGTTATACTTTTCAGCTATAAATGATACTGTTGATTTTCATAGCTATTAATTAGCTTTAGCTACGATTTTATTAATCATAGCTATGAGTTGGTGGCTATATGTGACAATTCTTGTAGTGGTTGAATGTTGTATTTAAGTATGAGTATGTGTTATTTTTGTTGGAATGTTGTATTTTATTTAATATGGATATAGATTTTAAGTAAATTTTCTTCAAATATGTTTTATATATGCTTAAATTTCAGAGGCAGCCATGAGGGAGTGCTAGGTTGCCCTCTAGCACAAGGCCTCCGAATATTAGTGGGCCTCCACCTACCACCTACGTCCATTAGCTAATTTGATAGTATACTATGGCCAGATATTTGAAGAGGATAATTGGGCTTTGGCGATGGATGGGAGGGCGGAGGAGAGATTGTTGTTAACAGATTAACGGCGGCGGATCAAGGATAGGGTAGAGCACTGGGCCACATTTGAAAATAGGTGGAGAAGACCATAACCCGACAAACACTGAAACGAATACATAAAATAAAAAATTTACAAGTGCTATACTAGGTTTGCATCCAGAGGAGGGTTAGACCGTGGCTCGGGGGCGACCTCTCGGATCCACCACTACATATGAAGAGGGAAAGGGTTCGAGTAAGAAGAATGTAAATAAGATATTGGACGAAAGTTTGGTGTTCCCTGCTCCTCCTTTAGAACCCACAATAATAATCCGGTGACGGGAATTCCACAGAAATCACAAAAATCGATAATTTAATTTTTATGAATTTCCCTATTTCTTATAAATTTAATTTTGAATATTAAATTTGATGTGTCAATGATTTGGCATCTATGCGACTGCCAAATTTTTGTCACATCGTCAAATGTCAACATCACTTTAACCATCGTCTGGGCAACCGTTATCTCTAACGGTCAATGAAATTGACAGGACACAAATGTTACAATAGTCTCATATTGCGTGTCAAAATCATGATATGGAATACTTAAGAACAAAAACGACATTTTTTGGATAGTTCGAATTTTATAGTGATATTAGCCCTAATTAATATTAGTACTAGTTATTGGTCAATATCCTCGTGTATACATTTACACGAGACACATGTAATGATTGTTCAATTCGTGTTTGAGAGCCGAAAGTCCTATTTTTGAAAAATGACACAAGAAACCTTAATAAGGATTAGTTGTGTCAACGACTGAAATTGATCTCGTGAGACTAAAAAACTAGAGAGCTGATATATAATTTAAAAATTAATAATAATGCTATGTTATTATTCATTTTATAATACTTGTTTGAGCCCGATCGACTGGGGGTCGCTCGGGTCCAAGGGGTTTGGGGTGTCAGCCATGACCTTGAAAGGGTAGGCGCCCCTCCTCGTCCGAAGCAGAAGAAGAGAAGAAGTATGTAGAGAGGGAAAGTAGAGAGAAGTTAGAGTAAAGAGTAGATAGTCCTTATTTATGAGGAGATAACTCCTATTTATACACAATTGAGGGTTAGGTAGTGGTCTGGGCGCCTGCCAAGCCATAAATGCTCTGGTCGGGCGCCTCAGACTCTCTGACACTGTTCATAGTCCTTTTGGCAGAGGGTGTCCCCCTGCCCCTTGTCCTTGCTGATGTCAGGTGCCTGGCCTTGTCTCTTGTCTCCCAGCCTTGTCTTTTTCCTCTTGTCTTCTTTCCTTCTCCATGCCATTAGCCATGATATTAATCCCTTAATTACTATGATACCCTATCAATACTAAAAGTCAATTTGAACTTTATCTCAATCTTAGAACCTCCACAATTTATTGGCTGATCCTGTTTAATTCATTTGGTATAAATATTTTTTATATTTTAACATATATATTTTATTAAACGACATAAACTAACAATCTAGCACAAATATACTACTAGTCATACCATATCATTTGCTAAATCGACACAATAGTATAAATCGGTTTGCCAAACTTGCCCTCTTCTTACTCCCGTGTATCGCTCTCGAGCATGGTTGTCATGCCGGTGGCATGCCACCCGGTTGAACCTGGTTCAACTTGTGCCGGTAATGAAACCGGCATGACACCACCGGTATGATCGACTTGTGCATTCTAAGCAAAATGACATCACTTTAATGAATTTAATCAATAAAAAAGTAATATATTATTCATTTTATGAATCTAATAGTTAAAAGTTGATGATATTTGTTGGATTCTAACTAAATTGTCCATAAATATGTTTTATATATAATTAAATATATTGGATATTAATTGTTTTCACATTTTTTTAAACCGGCATGAACCGGCACAAACTGGTTCTACCACCGGTCATACCATTCCACTTGTCAAATCGGCACAACGGTATAAACCGGTTTGACAACCTTGCTCTCGAGTAATCACTGCTTCCACTGACCACTAGTCCACTACTATCCTAGCAGCCTCCTCAGGTAACCCCGATTTACTACCTGGGTCCTGGCCTGGGCTGTTCGAGGGTTTACCTCTGTCTCTCTCTCCTCCCCCCGCAGCCCTTGGAGCTTGGCCAACAAGATTCATCAATCTCTTCCTCTCTCTCTCTCTCTCTCTCTCAGTTTCACTCCCCCTTCCTTACAACTGAGCATCAACCGCACTGCACCTCGCCGGAGAGAGGATAGTGAGATTCCAAAGCGCCCTAATGGTTCGTTCTCGTGGTGCTTACCTCCTCGTCGGTTCCCTTGCTCGCCGCTCTTCTTTGCTCCGCTCGCACTCTCCTGATCATGATGTAAGCTCTTCTTCCTACTAAAGTTGAAACCTTTTCTTCGTTTCTCTACTCTTTTATCCGTTTCGGTTGTTGGGCAAATGGGAGATCAATGCGGTGCTTACATTCTTTAGGGGAATTCTTCATTTGATTAACTTCAGGTTTATAGAAGTTTGCTCAATTGGAGATGTTATAGGCGATTAATAACTACAGCTCGAGGTTGCAATCAAGCTGGGGTCACCGGCAATTCGTTCCCCCAAAACGGTAGGATATGCCCTGTCTCCCCTAGAAGAACAGTGAGTATGAAGTTCGTAGGAGTTTGCTTATCTTCTGCAGTAAAGTTGGGTAAAAGAAAGATGGTTTTTTTTTAGGTGAGGTATGTAGTTGAGCTCCCAAGATGGTGTTACTTCTTTTATTTATTTCCATCTTCTACACATGTGCAGTTGACACCAAAAATTGGTTGCCTTTCGGAGCTTTGAAACCAAATGGGGTGAGGTTAATTCATGGCACAGGTACATCTCTCTGCAGAAAGCTGATCTATTTTCGACTGGGTCTTCGTGTCTCTTCTCTTTCAAATTATAGTGTGGTCTAATCCCACGCTGGATTCTACCTTCAGCTCACACCTCAAAAGATTACTATGACATACTTGGTGTCAGCAAGAATGCGACTCAGTCCGACATTAAGAAGTCATACTATCAGGTAAACCTTTGTCTCTTGCTTGAGCCATTTTTATTTTTTACTATCATGACCCTGCAATTGTTCTTTATCTCCATGCTTTAGCGTAATTTCTTTATGCTTGTTCTGCTTATGCTGTTTAGCTAGCAAAGAAATTCCATCCAGATAGTAACAAAGATGATCCTGAAGCTCAAAAGAAGTTCCAAGAAGTTTCTAAGGCGTATGAGGTGCTTTCTCTATTTGATGATATTCAGCCTCTCCTTTATCTCCTTGCTACTGGATCTTCATAATGATTTTGACGTATTATGATTTTTTCCCTGTTTCAGGTTTTAAAAGATGAAGAAAAGCGTTCCCAATATGATCAGGTTTCACTTCTCTTTTAAAATCTCCTAACACTTACATGTAGTATCTTTTTGTAGCTGGTGTAGTTTTTGGGGCTCGATTTCATAACATCAACTTGATCCATTTTCATTTCATAACGTCTCTCGTCTTTCAAACACATGCACATTCATAAGCACTCTCACCAGTAGCATGTATATACGGAGTGTAGTGGCTTGATAATTTCTAAATGCTCATCAGTTGAAGCCTTTGATATTTTGCATATTTGTGACCGACTGTTAGGAATTGTTGTGCACCTAGTGCATAAATGTTGTAGCTTATTTCTCGTTTAGAAATTGGTGATGATTTTGCTGATATTGGTGATTTGATGATCTTATAGCTTGGACATGAGGCCTTCGAACATCAAGGTGACAATGGTTTCCATCCTGGTGGTGGGGCAGGATTTGAACATCCGTTTGGGGAATTTTTCAGAATGAATGATGTAATGATTCGCCCCCCAGCTACTTTCTTTCTGATATTTGTTAATTCAAACTGATTCTGCTGATTTTTGGAATTGCTTTGTTGAGTAATGCTTCTCAGTTAACAGAACATGTCCTTTCCATCGAGGATTCCATCTTGAGATAATTGTAACTCATTGAAACTTGTTAATTTTAATCTATGGCTCTACAACTATGATGTTAAAATCTGTTAAATCTCTAATAATCAGTAGCTGGTGGTGCTAGCAACTTTGAAGTTAGAGATCAGGATACCATATCTATGAAAAATTTGTAGGAGATTAAAATACCCCATTACAGAACTTGTATAATGTTTAACTTTTCCTCTTGATCCTTATAATGGTATGCCTTCTGATTTTGATACTAGATATTCGGAAGCATGTTTAACCAGCAGCGGCTTGGTGGGGAAGACGTCAAGGTTTTCTACTTTGGTGGTTCTTCTTAGTTATGTGTTGTAGTAATGATGCTGTCATGTCTATTTACCAAATTGTTCGAATGTTTGGTTCATCTAGGTGGCTCTTGAGCTATCCTTCATTGAAGCTGTTCAGGGATGCACAAAAAATATCACATTTCAAACTGATGTTCCTTGTGAAACGTGCCGTATGTTCATCCTCTCTTCTGGCGTCCCCCACGCGTGACTTGCTACATCTTTTCTCAAATTTACTTTGAAGCTATTTTGCATCCATTTGCAGGTGGTGAAGGAGTACCTCCTGGTGTAAAACCTCAAATCTGTAAGCGATGTAAAGGAACTGGCACGGTTAGTATTGTAGAAGTGGTAGACTCTACTGATACCAAGTGTTTATGTCATGTGTTTCTGACTAGGTATTACTACACTCTGCAGGAGTTCACACAAACAGGGTTTTTCAGTGTTCAGCGTTCATGCAATCAATGTGGTGGAGCTGGCCAAACTGTATCGGTATGGGCGAAACTCCATTGGTTATCACTTCTCGGCTTTTGTGTTCTTGTTACTTGTCTTAGACGAATTTGCACCTGCCAGATTGTTCACATAACTAAATATTTAATTATCAGTCTCTGTTGATTTAACAAAAAAAGATTATCGGTGTGTGACTAACTTGTTTGACTGCAGAGCTTTTGCAAGTCATGTCAAGGACGGAAGGTAAAAAGAGGGTCAAAATCAATCAAATTGGATATAGTACCAGGTGTGCTCTTTTCCTTCTGGATCTTGAATATGTTCTTCCTTCTTTGGTTTCTTTATTTTAGTTCCTAGATCAAATTTAACTTGAAGGTTCATGCATTGCAACTTCATGTTGCATTGAATATTTTACACTTGATTGCTTCCTATTGCGGTGGGAGCATGGTTTAGCTGAATTTACAGAAATGTAGTTAAAATGCCTAAATTGCTGTGAAAGTCCCTCTAATACTCAATACTGGTATTCCTTCTTTTTTCGGGGGCTCCCTGATGGAATTTTGATTAGCCTTTTTGCATTCAACTCTTGACCCAAGTTTCTCCATTCATTGTAGGAGTTGACGATAATGAAACAATCAAGGTTCCTAGGAGTGGTGGAGCAGACCCTGACCGAAACCAACCTGGCGATCTCCTTATCAACATAAAGGTAACATTCTTTATTCAGAAAACTATTTTTCTTGCATATTATTATCTCCTAAATGGCATTGACTTGTGCAAGAGGCATGGACGTGGGGTGGATTATGTCCATCTCTCTAGTCTTTTTTAGCTGGAAATTAGGAGTTGCTTCGCGGTTGGTTGTTAAAACGTAGACAAAGCTGTTACTGAGGATATTGCTTAGGTGGCTCTTCTAGTTAATCCCATTCTCATCGGCCGATGTCAGTGAACAATTGTGCTAACTGCCATCTTACTGTGGAGATATAATGTGATTTGAATCAATGCTCTGTTTATTATGCCTCTCCAGGTCCGTGAAGATCCGGTTTTCCGCAGAGAGGGTGCTAACATACATGTAGATGCTGTTTTGAGTATTACTCAGGTAAAGATACCATCTTTTCTTTTTGACACTCTCATGCAAAAATACGGATTATATATCTTTGATTACGACATGAAAAACCGAGCAAACTACGAATCTTGGTCCACTGAGGCTTTCTTGTTGTAGTAGTTGTTGGGATGGAGAGTTAATTTTGCGTTGCTTTTGTGCAGGCAATTTTAGGGGGAACAATCCAGGTCCCAACACTCACTGGAGATGTCGTTGTTAAGGTAGTGTCTAAAACCCTGTTTTAGCCTAATCTGGAAGTCGGCAGCGCCCAGCAGTAGTAAGTTCAATGTGATTTTTTTGTTGGGTTCAGGTCCGTCCTGGCACTCAGCCTGGTCAAAAAGTGGTGCTGAAGAAAAAAGGTGAGGACCTTGATGATAGCAGCTAGCTACCTATCTTGGATCTGACTATATCAGGAACTGACTGAGTCTATTCCCTTACTGCTGCGATTATGTTGGGCAGGAATTAAAACACGTCGGTCCTATTCGTTTGGGGATCAGTTCGTGCACTTCAATGTCAGCATCCCAACGTGAGTTCTGTGCTGGGTTTTGTGCTGTTTGTATTTGGAGAAACCAGTGCTTAAATGATAATATGATAATTTGAAGTCACTACTCTTGTGTGGTGCAGGAGTGTAACACCAAGGCAACGTGAGCTGCTGGAGGAGTTCGCCAAGGAAGAACAACAAGGAGAAGAAGGTGACAAGAATCCTGCTGCGGCTGCTGGGGCATCTAACTAAACACTACCTAGAAGCTGCTGTTGGGTTCCCCAAAGTTTTGCAGAAGCACGAGTTTGTAATTTGTATCATCTACGTTCTATTGATCTCTATGTTGGTCGTATTACCATGAATGACTCTTTGCTAGGCTAGCGATCATGTCGTTCTTCTGAAGTCCAGGCATATAATTTAGAAAGCATGTCTTTTCGTGTAAACGACCATTTTGTACATGCCATAAATCTCAAACTGCTGCTGCTGCTGCTGCTAAAGTGTTTGGAGCAAAAAAGAATGATGTTATGATTCAGACAGTTCGATTCAGCATCACTTGTCTTTCTTCATTTTCTTAATCATGTAGCTCAGTCTTTGGTTTTAGTTTCTGAACGGTGTGTAATTAAGGGGTTGTTTGGAAGTTGTGATTCTTCAAATTGATGTATTGGGACAATTAGTGTATTATCATTTGATGGATTGAATCAATTGATGTATTAGGTAAATATCTTGTTTGGAGGTTTAGATTGTGTTTTTGTCCCAAAGGTAAAAAAGTTGTATTGAGTGATTGTGAAGAATCTCAACAAAAAGTAGAGATTGTAAATTCCTCAATATTGAGTGATTGTGGTGGGGCCTCCAAAAAGTAAATGCATGTATTCTAGTTCTACATAAACCAAAAAAACGACTTAATCTCACAAATACATGAATTAGATCAATACACCATTTGAAATCACAACTTCCAAACGACCCCTTAATCTCACAAATACATGAATTAGATCAATACACCATTTGAAATCACAACTTCCAAACGACCCCTAAATATTGCTAAGGGTGGTATTTCGTAATCTCTTTTGCAATGTTAGTATCTAGACTCTAGAGTGAAGAAATGGTGAGGCTGAGTGATGGACGAAGAGTTCTCATTCTATTGGGCGTGAGTCGTGACCCAACGGCCCATCGTCCGAGCCCATGGCGTCCCATGCGCACGTCTCTTTTGCTGCATATTGTCCTTTTACTTGTCCTACACTCCCTACTTGTTTTACTCTAGCTGAGAGATGCAGGGTATAAAAGCAAGTTGTAAGCCCGTAGGCCACAATTAAGATGTGATCAATAATATTTTCAGTCGGAGAGATTGTGCTCTCTTGTAGATTAGTCTCGTTCAATATAAATGAGGATGCCATGTAAATATTGTGTAGGTAACTTTTTAGTCTTCCGTATTACATTTTTCTCATGGTATTAGAGTTGTGATCCATACCAGCTTTTGAAATATGTCTGGAGATATTTTTACGCTCGAGATGCCACCCACCTCAATGTCTTCCGAGTATACCTCCAGCGATAAGGACTTCGAAGCTCACAGTCCTTTCTTCATTCTGAATTCGGATTTCACAGTACATCTTCATGTCAGCAATGTCTTGACTCCATCAAACTATGGTGAGTGGGTCCTTGAGATGACTGATGCCCTAGTTACGAAAAACAAAGTGGGTTTTATGGGTGGAACCTTTCGCACCCACAAGATGGCATACTGCAGTCTCACGCTTGGATGCCCTAGTCAAGGGATGGTTACGTACAACGATGGGTGCGAAGATCCAAAGTAGTGGCATGCATGGTAAGACGGCTGAGGAGATTTGGGAGGACCTTTGATATCATTTTAGCATAGGTAACTTGTCGCGCATCTATGAATTACATCGTCAAGTGAGCCTTATTTAATTAGAGAAGCAATCAATATTCAGTTTCCATACGAAACTCCGGAGGATCTTGGAGAAAGCCGCAGTCAGTTCCGCCGCCTCGGGTTTGTTCATGCGAACGCTGGTGTCGTGACCAGAATGAGAGTTTATGGCTCCTTGATTTCCTGCTGGGGTTGGATGAATCGTTTGCTACGGTTCGCAGTGATATACTTTCTATGTTCGTTCCGCCGTCCCTTTCCTACAGCTTTTAGAATCTTGTTTAACGATGAACAACAACGTACCCTTACACAAGATCGGAAGCCGGTTCCATAGGCAGCAGCCTTTGTAGCTCGCGATGAATTGGATCAGGCGGCACCTGGGAATCGGAACGGGCACAAGAGAGGATCAGTTGACAGAGAGAGTGGGAATATGATAAATAGATAATAATCCCCAATTTCCAATTGATCTCAAATAATTGGCAATATATGCCTCAAGAAGACTTTTGCTAGTCTTACAATCTCAGCAAAACACCAAACCATAATCATAATCAAACCCATTAATTAATAAATTAAGAATATCAGCAAAACTATCTTTAACTTCTTCGTCGTCATCATCAGGCGCTGGTTCTGTTTAGAAATCCTTGAGCAGCTTCCTGACCTGCTCAAGCGTCACAAACAGCACCACGGTGAAGGGTCCCTGCCTCGAAATCGTAGGGATGAATCCCTTGTAGAGAGCCATGGGTCCTTCCGCCCTCACCGTCTTAATCGCACAGTCCAAAGCCCCGCTGTACGGCGCCGCCTTCCCCGCCTCCACGCTCATGTTCATAACCCTCGTCTTTATCACATCCACCGGATTCGACGCCACCGACGCCACGAACCCCGCCGCGAAGCTCGCCGTCACGTGGGTCCCCAGCCCGTCCCCCATCACGCCCTTCTCCAGAATCGACTCCTTTATCTGGTCGTACGACGCCAGCTGCGACGCCGTCACGATCATCGCCCGATTCACCGTCAGCGATGACCCGCGCCACAGGCTTCCCACCCCTTCCTTCCTCGCCATCGACCCAATCGCGTCCACCACGCTCGTGTAGTTCCGCCTCGCAGCGGCGGGGAGCCTCCCGTCGGCCTGCATCCTCACCATCGCCACGTCGGCGGGGTTCCCCACGGCGGCGCCGATTCCGCCGGCGATGAGCCCGGCCGTGATTTTCCTGACCAGCGGCATGTTCCCCGTCTCCGGGTTGGTCCACTTGGTCTTCAGCACGTCGTAGAGGCCCATTCGGGTAGTGGAGTAGAGGGTCTGCCGGAGGACGGTGGCGGAGACGCCGGAGAACAGCGCTGCAGCTCCTTCATGGCGGAGGATGTTCAACCCGACGGCGACGGGACCCACGGACGGGCGTGGAGCGGCCGTCACGTGGATGGCGGAAATGGCACCGCCGTTGTTGAAAGCGAAGGCTGGGCGGAGGACAGGGTTGGGAGCAGCCAAGCTCTCGCCCTGCAGCTGCATTCGGACCTTGATTAGATCCAGCGGGTGGGTCGAGCAGCCGGCGATGATGGAAGCAATTCCGCCCTCGACGAATCCCTTGACGCCCATTGCTATAAAGAATTTGGTGAAAAAAACCCTAAATTGCTCTACAAAAAAATTGGTAGGGAGGGAGCAAAAATGGATCTAAGGGTAAAAAATTGGAAATCAGAGAAGCCAGTTGGGGCTTAGGTCGCTGGAGACGAGGAAATGGGAATGCAAGCTGGAAGCTATGGAGGAGGAGTGAGGCACAAAAGGTCTCTGAGACATGTGCCAATGGGGGAATTTTTGTTGAACTGAGATGCTGCGATGGTGGGTTTATGGCGGAGGGGTGGAAGAGAATATATATAGTAGGCGAGAGGTAGGGGAAAGGAAGGAATGGAGGAAGCGGAAGGAAGACGCGGTTCTATGGTGGTGGACTGTGGGGCCGGGTCGGGTCAAAATTTGCACCTTTCCTTGTAGAGTTTTGATTCGGCGCTCCGCCCGGCTGGGGAAGTCGCCAACCAGACAGACAACACAACCTCCCACGAAACAGAACCTATAATTAACTAGCTTATTACCCGGGCCGTTGGCCGGATTACTGCATGTTACCCACTTGTGGAATGGGAGAGAAAGCAAGTGAGAGTGAAGGTATTGGGATTCCACTTGATTAGGACCGACCCACTAATTCGATTCTTCCCGACCCGCCCCAACCTAAAGGGTCAGAAAGAGTTAATAAGAAAATACGAACGGAGAGGATTAGTCATATATCTTGACTCTTCAGAAGTGGGTCAAACAGGATCAAGGTTGGGTGAGGGCAATTTTTAGCGCTAAGCAGAGTTCTGGGTCGAATAACTTCACTTAGGCCTAGAAATTGGTGCTGATGCAGACTGCAGTTTTTATTATACCATCATCAATCATCATTGAATTAGTCCTGGGCATCCCTCCCCGTTGTCGATCTGAATTCTAATGATGGCTTTATTCCTTGCACCAGCCATATCAGCGAGTTGTCATGTCGAGCATGATTTGCCTATGTACAAATGATACAATTAGAGTATGAAACTGAATTCAAAGAAAAGGAAAAGATAATTCTATCACATGCCAATAAATACACACATAATAGTTGAAGCTAAGTGAAAGTCATTACTCGCACATCAATTCTCAAAAATTACAGACTAAACAATGGCTAGAATGGCACTGAAACTACCAAGAATCATGGACGAAACAACTTGTCAAATTAAATAATCCTTATACTGAAACTACCTTCTAACTTGAAATAAGACATGATCACAGTTCATAGTAGGGGTGGCTATACGGTCCGGTCCGATTAAATTGGACCAAATTGATCCGGTCCCAGTCCGGTCTTTTCGGAAATATAAGGACCAAAGATTGGATCGGACACAGTCCGGTCTTGATCCGAACCGGTCTTGACCCGGTCCGGTCCCAATTTGATCTTGATTTTAGATTGAGCTTGTGGGGATTTGAGTGTTGGGGTCTCTTATCCGGTCTTTATCCGGGTTTTTTAACTTAAATCTAAGTCCGAATATGAGATTGGATTGTTTGCTATCCGGTCCCAGTACGGTCTCGGTCCGGGTTTTACGGTCCGGTTTTGGGTAAAACCAAACAGTCCGGACCAAATAGCCAGCCCTAGTTCATAGCACTCTTATCACTATAAATTGGTTGCAGCTCGTCCTTATCACTGCCTCCCAAGCTCAATTCAAACAGAATAGAGACCGTTATGTAAGATAACCATATCCTTACTGATCATAATTTCTTTCTTCACTCCATTTTTGTCGGAGAAAAGAGTTATCCCCCTCTCCTGCATTTCCCTTTCACCCTCTCTTTCCCCTCTTCTTCACAAACCGATCCCTAAACCAACAACAACAACACAAAAATAGCCTTCGCCTCTGCCATCTCCATCTACTGAACGCGTTGGTGGCAAGACAGGACTGCAGAAGCAAAATTTTCTAAAATCAAACTAAATTTTTTGAAGGAGACTCAACCACGAAAAAAGAGTAAAGCAACAATGTTAATAGTTCAGATGGTTGGTTTTGATGTTATACGTTGCTTTTGTTATGGTCTCCAGTATATCAACTGCAACAAAGATGTTTCCTCCAATCATCTTTAATGCACGATTTAGAAGTAAGTCCTCTTGTTTGTGTCAAACGGAAACATTCATCGGTTCTTAACTCCCCTGTTAGTGTAAATGCAGCAGCAGCAAAGAAGTTTGACAACACAGCAAGCACCCAGGCAAAATGATACAATGCAGTAGGTGATATGTGTCTCGAAGGTTTTGAGTTACTAAAGTTCATGTTAAAAATAAACATGAATTAAAATGGATCATTCTATTAAGCAAACATCCCCTCTAATCATACAAAGATCAGATATCCAATTCACAAACAATTAAGCCATAAAAAATCATCACACATCCACCACCTTTGATTGCCTAAATTTGTTTTTTCGCAAAGTTATGGACTCTTAAGAGTAACGTTCATGGGTAATCTGTTTCATAACTCTAGAGAGCACAGTAAGCAGCCACCAGCCAGACACAGTGCGGTAGGCGAATATGATTCTCAATTCACAATTTCTCACCACCGGAAGTAAGAACATACCATAATAAGCGTAGCGTTCATGGGTGGTCTGTTTCCTAAGCACTACTACACAATTTGTTAAAAAAGAAAGAAAGGTATTTAGCATCACGGCGGAACAACTTTTACAGGCCAACAACGACAACATGCTGCAACCACCAGAACTGGTATCACAACTCATAGGGAAAATCAAAAGATTTACTCTCAAATTAAGTAGTTACAACATTGAGCAATCGTCAAGCACATACACCATCACAAAAGTCACGGAACCTGATTCACAAAGCATTTGAGGACATTTCTGCAAAGGTACAA